CAACTAAGCAACATTGATAGTAGGCAATATGCTTTTTTTCGATGAAACTTCTCATTTATAACTGTTAATGTGTCATTTTTATTTGGCGTGATCAATAAATGTCAATAAATTTAAAAATGGACTTTCATATCAAATCAGCCAAATGAAGTTTTTGTTACTACTGCATTCCAATGCATGTACCGATGTGAGCGGTAAAATATTTTGAATCTAAAAATTGAGGTTCAGAGATTTACGTTTAAGCAACGGCTGTCTTAAAAAAAAATTTATTGGCGATTTAAAAAAGATTCAAAAGATATTCAAATGAAATGCAATTGCGATTCAACCATCATTTAATGGTATTTTGAATCTTGAATCTATCAGACTATAGATAAAGGCCCCATTCACTCGAACTGTTACTCGAAGCGGTACTAAAGATTCAGGCATTATGAGTAATTTTATTTAATATCCAAGTTAAATTACAACTAAGCAACATTGATAGTAGGCAATATGCTTTTTTTCGATGAAACTTCTCATTTATAACTGTTAATGTGTCATTTTTATTTGGCGTGATCAATAAATGTCAATAAATTTAAAAACGGACTTTCATATCAAATCAGCCAAATGAAGTTTTTGTTACTACTGCATTCCAATGCATGTACCGATGTGAGCGGTAAAATATTTTGAATCTAAAAATTGAGGTTCAGAGATTTACGTTTAAGCAACGGCTGTCTTAAAAAAAAATTTATTGGCGATTTAAAAAAGATTCAAAAGATATTCAAATGAAATGCAATTGCGATTCAACCATCATTTAATGGTATTTTGAATCTTGAATCTATCAGACTATAGATAAAGGCCCCATTCACTCGAACTGTTACTCGAAGCGGTACTAAAGATTCAGGCATTATGAGTAATTTTATTTAATATCCAAGTTAAATTACAACTAAGCAACATTGATAGTAGGCAATATGCTTTTTTTCGATGAAACTTCTCATTTATAACTGTTAATGTGTCATTTTTATTTGGCGTGATCAATAAATGTCAATAAATTTAAAAACGGACTTTCATATCAAATCAGCCAAATGAAGTTTTTGTTACTACTGCATTCCAATGCATGTACCGATGTGAGCGGTAAAATATTTTGAATCTAAAAATTGAGGTTCAGAGATTTACGTTTAAGCAACGGCTGTCTTTAAAAAAAATTCATTGGCTATTTAAAAAAGATTCAAAAGATATTCAAATGAAATGCAATTGCGATTCAACCATCATTTAATGGTATTTTGAATCTTGAATCTATCAGACTATAGATAAAGGCCCCATTCACTCGAACTGTTACTCGAAGCGGTACTAAAGATTCAGGCATTATGAGTAATTTTATTTAATATCCAAGTTAAATTACAACTAAGCAACATTGATAGTAGGCAATATGCTTTTTTTCGATGAAACTTCTCATTTATAACTGTTAATGTGTCATTTTTATTTGGCGTGATCAATAAATGTCAATAAATTTAAAAATGGACTTTCATATCAAATCAGCCAAATGAAGTTTTTTTTACTACTGCATTCCAATGCATGTACCGATGTGAGCGGTAAAATATTTTGAATCTAAAAATTGAGGTTCAGAGATTTACGTTTAAGCAACGGCTGTCTTTAAAAAAAATTCATTGGCTATTTAAAAAAGATTCAAAAGATATTCAAATGAAATGCAATTGC